AAAGTTAGGTCAGATTCATTCTACAGTGCTTCCCTTAACTCATTCCTTCTCCCTCCCCCGCAATCCCCTTCCTCTACTCCACTGATCTTTCTTTTATTTTGATGGAAACCCCACTCCTTTGTTTTTTCTTGTTTTGGACTAGCTTCTGCATATCAGAGAAAACATCCAGCCTTTGACTTTCTGGGTCTGCCTTATTTCACTTAGTGTGATAGTCTCCAATTCCATCTGTTTACCAGCAAATAACATAATTTCATTCTTCTTTTTGGCTGAGTAATACTCTGTTGTGTATATACCATATTTTCTTATCCATTCACCTGTTGCAGGGCACCTAGGTTGGTCCTATAACTCGACTGTTGTGAATTGTGCTGCTATAAACATTGATGTGGCTGCATTACTATAGTTTTGCTGATTTAGTTCTTTTAAATATTACTGAGGAGTGGTATGGCTGGGTCACATTGTGGTTCCATTGCTATTTTTTTGAGGAAATCAAAAAGTTACTGCTTTCCAGAATGGTTTCACTAATTTTTAATCTTACCAACAATGTTTGAGTGTATCCTTTTCCCCACATCCTTGCCAACACTTATTGTTATTTGTATTCTTAATAATTATTCTGACTGGAGTGAGATAAAATTTCTATACAGTTTTAATTTGCATTTCCCTAATTGTTAGAGATGTGGAACATTTTTTTATATAATTGTTGACCATTTGTATTTTTTCTTTTGAGAAGTGTCTCTTTAGTTCTTTTGCCCATTTATTTATTGATAAGCAAGAAGTTTTGGTATACAGGTATATTTATGATTATACATATGTGAAATATAATCATATATATTGCACATATGATTATATGACAATGCATTTCCATTCATGTTTATGCATTAATATTATATAAACTTATGTAACTATGCTAAATGGGATTATGTGTTATATTTATTAATTAGCATATACATATACTAGGTAATTGAGTGTTATAGGTTAAAATTTGTATAAATCTGTGTGCTATTTGCATATTATATGATTTGAGTTCCTACAATAAATCATATCAGCAATTTTCTTGAGTTCTTTGTATATTCTGGATATTAATGTCCTATCTTAGGAACAGGTTGCAAAGATCTCCCATTCTGTAGGCTTTCTTCACACTCTGGTTTCCTTTACTGTGCAAAAGCTTTTTAAATTGATGCCACCCACTTATTGATTTTTTTATTTTGTTTCTTGCATATTAAGGGTCTTGTTAAGGAAGTTGGTTCCTGTGCTAACATGGTAAAATGTTGGGCCTACATTTTCTTGTAGCTGGTGCAGGGGTTCTGTTCTAATCTTTAGGTCTTTGATCCACTTTCAGTTGACTTTTGTGCAGGGTGAGAGAGAGGGGTCAAGTTTCATTCTTCTACATATGAATATCCAGTTTCCCCAGCATCATTTGTTAGAAAGGCTCTTTTCTCCAACATATGTTTTTGGCATATTTGTCTATTAACTATTTATGTGAGTTGGTCTTTGTGTCTTCTATTCCATTGGTTTTCATGTCTGATTGTGTAGCAACCATGATATTTTTGTTACTATAACTCTGTAGTATAATTTGAGATCTGGTATTGTGATACCTCCAGCATCTCTCTTTTTGCTCAGAGTTGTTTTGGCTATTCTAGTTTTTTTATTTTTCCAAATGAATTTATAACTACTTTTTAAAGTTATATGAAGAATATCATTGGTATTTTGATATGGATTGCATTAAATCTATATAATGCTTTTGGTAGTATGGCCATTTAGACAATATTAATTCTGCCTATTTAAGAACATAGGAGATCTTTCCATCTTCTAAAGTCTTCCTCAATTTCTTTCTTCATTGTTCTGTAGTTTACCTTGTAGAGGTCTTTCACCTCCTTTGTTAGGTTAGTTCCTAAGTGTTTTATTTTATTTTTTAGGTTATTGTGAATGGGATAATTTTCCTAATTTCTTGTTCAAATTCGTTATTGGAGTATAGGAAAGCAATTGATTTATGCATCAATTCTTGTATCCTGGTACTTCACTAAATTTACTAGCTCTAGAAATCTTCTGGTGGAGTTTTTGGGGTCTCTTAAACATAAGATCATGCCATTAGGAAACAGATATATTTGACCTCTTCTTTTCTTTTTCCTATCCCTTTAATTTCCTTCTCTTGCCTGATTGCTTTGGCTAGAGTCTCAGGGATTATGTTGAATAGGAGTGGTGAAAGTTGGCATCGTTGTCTTGTTCCTGTTTTTAGAAAAAATATTCTCAGTTTTTTCCAATTCAGTATGATATTGGCCTTGGATTTGTCATATATAGCCTTTACAATGTTGAGATAAGTTTCTTCTATTCATAGTTTCTCTGGTGTTTTAAACATGAACGGGTGCTGGACTTTGTCCAGTGTTTTCTATTAAGATAATCTATGTGATTCTTGTCCTTAAGTCTATTTATGTCGTGAATTGCATTTATTGATTTTCATATGTTGAACCAACCTTGTATCCTGAGATGAAACCCACTTGATGATGGAAGTGTGTTTTTGTATGTGGTGTGTGTGTGTATATATATATATATTGGTGTGTGTGTGTGTGTGTATTTTTTTTTTTTTTTTTTTTTTTGGTGTGTGGGGGAGCATTGGGAATTGAACCCAGAGGCACTTTATCACTGAGCCACATTCCTAGCCCTTTTCATTTTTTATTTTGAGACAGGGTTTCACTTAGTTTCTTAGGGTCTGAATTGCTGAGGCTGGCTTGGAATTTGCAGTCCTCCTGTCTCAGCCTCCTGAGTCGTTGGAATTACATTGGAATGCCATTGTGCCTGACTGCCATTATTTTAATAAGATTTTTGGCATCTATGTTCATTGAAGGTATTGATTTACCTTTAACTTTTGCATTATGTGTTTTTTTGCTAAACACTTGGTTTGGTACCATGTATATAAAGCCACCTATTCACCTATCCAAAGATTAAATTTCATCTAGTTAGCTTGGTATATTTGTAATTTCTATTTTTCCATTAAATTTTTAAATCCATATGCCTTATTTTAGAATATAATTCAAATAAGGACATATTTTTTCTGAAATAACAAATCACCTAATATAATTTTTATTGATTGATCATTCATTTTTTCCTCTCTAATTTGAAAACTTTAATATACCAAACATTTTATATGTATATGTGTATATCTGCCTAAGAATAACTTCCCCAAGAGTAACATATAATTCCTGAAATTTTTAACTAAACCACTCTATTACTTTACAAAAACACTTAAGAAGACTTAAACTTCTGTATTAAAGTCTTCTTTTTTTTTTTTGGAGGGTGAGAGGGACCAGTGATTGAACTCAGGGGCACTTAGCCACTGAGTCACATCCCCAGCCCTTTTTGTATTCTATTTAGAGACAGGGTCTTACTGAGTTGCTTAGGGCCTTGCTAAGTTGCTGAGGCTGGCTTTGAACTCGTGATCCTCCTGCCTAAGCCTCAAGCCACTGGGATTACAGGTGTGCACTACCTGTGTTAAAATCTTATCCAGTTCATACATTTTTTTCCTAATTCCTGGGAATTGAAAACTCAGAATATTTCCCTCATCATAGCATTTTATTGTTGATTAAAGATTTTTTTTTTTTTGTCAGCTCACAACCTGGCCGGAATAAAAGCAAACAGTGGCAAATAGAGATCAAATGTGATTCTGAAGAATGCAGAGTTGTTTCAGAGAAAAGAAATTTTAACTTACTTGTTTCATGGCAGGAATGAGACATTAGTAAACGCTGGAAATTGAGGCAGTATTTGAACTTTGAACAAATATTTAGAATGTTCTTAACTTAGCATTTCAGAAATTGTTTTATATTTATTGATTTTAAAATGGATGAAATTGTCAGTGAGTAAATTTATTATTAATTCCATCATAGATATAGTTAGAGTTTCAAAAGTAATCACCAGAGCAGTTATAAGGTCCCCTCCCATCTGGGGACACTTTGTCTCCTCTGCTATTGTAGGGCTGAGGCCACACATCTGATGAAGGCTCACTTTAGATATGAGTTGATCCAGAAATGAAAGGTATATTATGATGCTATAGGTCATGTGTGAAGTATGTGCTCTACTTACTCTGTGAACTGTGAACAAAATTGATGAGGAGATTTTGCAGAGAAAATAGTTCCCAGGATTGACACAAAGCTGGCTAGCAGGTTAAAGACTTGAATTTTAGATTTTGCAATTAAATAATGACCTTAAATGGTATTATCTAATTATTCCTTATTCTTCTTTCCAGATTCTTTTTGCACTTAATGTGTGTTCTCCCAAAAGTGTCTGTAAAACATTATTGCCTCTGGTGCTCTAGAAGAAATTTTAGGGGTCCATAGTTAAATGAGTTAAAGAAATGCTATGAACTAGACCCATCTTTAAGAAATACAATGTGTAGTTGAATATTAAATGCTCTAAAAAGTCTTACTGGAAAGAAACCCTTAAGTCTTTTAGACCCGTTTCTTGACTTCTATAGGAACTGTGTTCACATTGGGAACCTCTCTGAGCTGCTGCCCAAGGTTACTACTAAGCATCTATAATTCTAGTTCTAGTAAAAAGTTTTATCATATGTAATAGGTTATTTTGTCCGTGGTACTTTAATTTGCAATAACAATGTGGAATTTTCTTCAAAACAACCCCACTCAAACCCCCCACCTTAATTGTACAGGATCCTACTATTCATGGATTTTTAAGTGTGACAACAATGAATATTAAGACTTTGCTTTGGAATTATTGGTAGAAAGAAAGCAGGGTCAGGAGTTTTCCTACTTTTCAGGAGTTCTTTTCAATATCTCAGTCCTTCCAGAATGTTTTTACAAGGTGCAATTTGTTTTTAGGTGCTCTTTGCATCCAACATAGGATTTCTTTTGTTTAATATAATTTTAGCTATTGTTGGCTCAAATATCTTTAATAGGTCGCTAGAGAGCTTTTATATTTATTGTTTATAAAATAAATTTTGGCTTTATAATAAGAAAGTTCCAAGGAAAGTCAAGGTGTTTTCATCTTACTTGTAGGATGGGTGCTGCAGACAATATATATAAAGGACGGAGTACATTTATGGAAGAACTGACAGACACAGCAGAAATAATCAGAAAAGCAACATCACAGTCTTTGGTTATCTTGGATGAATTGGGAAGAGGGACGAGCACCCATGATGGAATTGCCATCGCTTATGCCACCCTTGAGTATTTTATTAGAGATGTAAGTATCCTACATACTTTTTTAAATTAATTTTTTGTTAATATTGTTTTTACTTGATAAGTTATAATAGTGTACATTTATGGGATACATTATAATATATTTTGATATATAAACAATGTGGAATAATTAAGTCAAGCTAATTAACATATCCATTACCTAACTTTTTTGTGGTGAGATATTTGAAATTAGTTTCAAAATCTTAGTTATTTTGAAATATATAATAGGTTATTATTGATTATAGTCATAATACCTTCATGCATACCCTTTTTTATATGGATGCTACATACTATACAAAATTATTTTCTTGACCTCCATCTCCAAATACACAAAATTACCATTGTTATAATTTATCTATCCCTGTGACTGATCATTCGAATGCTTTACTCTGTACTTAGACTGGCCCTAAGTAAATTTCATAGTTTCCATGAGTCTGTCTTCCTTTTGCTACACCTGGTTCTAGGAGAAAGGCCTCTCTGGCAATATTCCCACCCATAAACTGTATCTATCTATATCTATATATCTATATCTATAGATATAGATATAGATATAGATATATAGATATAGATATATATAGCTGGATCAATACTTTTATTTTATTTATTTTTATGTGGTGCTGAGGATTGAACCCAGTGCCTCTCATGTGCTGGGTGAGCACTCTACAGCTGAGCCACAACCCAGCCCCATAACTCTATCTTATTATTATTGGCAAACTAAATCAAGAGTAGGGATCACTCACCTAAGCCATTTCCTTGAGGAAAGACAAAAAGACAGTGCCTACCCTGTGAAATGTTTTTCACTGATGTCCTAGATCTTAGTGTAACACCTTTGGTCTCATCTCTGTCTCTCTCTTGTTCAGTAACATCCCTCCTTCAATGCATACTTCTTTATTCAGAGTGCATTTCTAAGCACCTCAGTGTGATACTCTGTGTTCAACTCTCTACCCCTGTCATCTCTCCCTTTTTCATTACTCTTTGTTCATTTTTTTTTATTAGTTACACATGACAGTACAATGATCTTGACAATCTTTGTTCATTTTGATCTCTTTTTCTCTCTTCCTCCTAGCATCTGCTTCTTCTGCAGCCTCATGTCTTCTTCAGCCTTTCTGTTTCTGTTTTACCTTATATTTTCTTATTCTTTTGTCTCCATCTTTCCTTTATTTTCATCTTTCCTCTCTTCATTGAATAGCTAATAAAAGCATATTTTCAAACTAAAATTCCTTTCTTTTTTAACCTTTTGTGGCTCTCGGTTTTTGGTTTGTTTTTAAAGTCTAATTTTCCTTTATACCCCCCCCCCCCCCCCCCCCCACAGAAGATAGCTTTCCTTTGGTCCTTAAGGACTCCATTCTTTACACTGCTCTGTGAGGGTCATGGGGCAGCATCTGTGGTCTTAGTTGGGCTGGGTTATTTGGCTTCACAGGACTGATTTCCTTGTTACCTTGCTGTGAATGGCACAAGTGATACAATAATGTACAGTCATTGGCCACATACATAGTAACCTTTCAGTCAGCCAGCTACCAAACAGATTACAATGATCCTGTAAAATTATATTGTCCATGACATCTTTGCCATCTTAGTTTGTGTATGTATACTTGATGATATTCACAGACTGGACAGATTACCTCATGATAGGTTTCTCAGAACATATTCTCTTCATTAAGCAACATATGACTGGAGTGTCACACACAGCTTGGGAAGCTCCTCAATGTCATAGATACTCACCATGGAAATATCCTTGATGGCTATAACCTCTACTGTGTATCACATAAATGGACTTAGTGGTTTTATCCTTGGGCATGCTCCCAGTGATTGCCATTTGTGCAGCAAACAACTGCACATGGCCACAGTCCTTTGGCATGAGTGTTGTTCCTTCTTTTACATGTCATCCTAGAAGTGAGGACCCAAGAGAGACCCAGATTTTGTTTAAACATTTATTTAGATTATATAGATAATGATGGCATGTTTTCTCCATAATAAATACTTTTTATTATTCTTTTTTTTAAAAAAAAATTCTTACTTATTTGAAAAACTACCTTAATCATTATGGAAACTACATATAATGGAAATTTGGGTAAACTCCTGTCAGTGCCGCCCAATCCACATTTTAAACGTTGATTTAAGAATCTTTAGGAATAAATTATGACAGAACTGAACTTGGTACCCTAGAGTTGGATTTCATAGTTTCTGCTAGATAATACTGTTAGTTATATGACTGTGTAATAAATTATGACCTCAAACTTAATGTTGTAAAAGGATTCTCCAGAAACAGGAGATTTAACCTTAAAAAAAAAAAAAAAAAGATATTATTTCTTAAAGAAGTTTTAGTTTCACAAGAAAATTGAAAGGAGATTGACAGAGAGATTTCACAGGTGCCCCTGTCCCCACCCTTTCACAACCTCTACTATTATCAATATCCCACCAGAGCAATCTATTTGTTACAATTGATTAACATGTCAGTATCACCTAAAGACCACAGTTTACGTTATGGGTTTGGTCAAATGGGTAATGACATATATTCACCATTTTAGTATCAGAGTATTTTCACTGCCCTAAAAAATCCTGTTTTTGCCTTTTCATTTCTCTTCCTGGAAACCCAGTAAACCATTAATTATTTTACTGTATCTGTACTTTTGCCTTTTCAGAATGTCATGTAGCTGGAATCAGTATGTAACTTTTGTAGACTGGCTTCTTTCACTTAGTAATATGCATTTAAGTTTCCTCCACATCTTTTCTTTTCTTGATGCCAACTACTATTCCATTGTCAGGGTTTATTAAAGTTTATTTATCCATTCATCTACTGTTGTATATCTCAATTGCTTATAGTTTTTGGCAATTATGGATAAGAGACTGTAAACATTTGTGTGCATATTTTTGTGTAGACATGTTTTCAACTCCTTTGAGTAAATACCAAGGAGCATGATTGCTAGATCCTATGGTGAGAGTATGTTTAGTTCTGTAGGAAACTGTTAATTTGTCTTCCAAGGAGTCTATACCATTTTTTGTTCCCATTAGCAAAAAATTAGCATTCCTATTGTTCTGCATCCTGGGCAGCATTTGGTATTGTCAGTGTTCTTGATTTGGGCCATTCTTAGAACATTTAGTGGTATTCCATTGTTTTAATTGATACTATTTAATTTGCATTAGTACAAATTAAAACAGGTGGACTATTTTTTTTCTGTGCATATTTGCCATCTGTATATATTCTTTAGTGAGATATCTTTTAAGGTTTTTGGCCCATATTTTATCCAGATTTTTTGTTTTCATGTTGTTGAAACATCATGAAAATTGTTTAAGGATGACAGGTCTTTTATCAGTTGTGTTGTTTGCAAGTATTTTCTCCCAGTCTGCCATGTCTTCTCGTTGTCTTTTGCAGAGCAGAATATTTTAATTTTAATGAAGTCTAGCTTTTCAATTCTTTCCTTCATGAATCATGCTTTGCTGTTTTATCTAAAAAGTTATTGCTAAACCCAATCTAGACTTTTTCTGCTATGTTATCTTCTAGGAGTGTTTATTGTTCTGTGTTTGACATGTAGGTCTGTGATTGATTTTGAGTTAATTTTTGTGTAATATCTGTGTCTTGGTTCATCTTTTGCATGTAGATATCCAGTTATTCCAGCATCATTTGTTGAAAGGAATATCGTTGTTTCATTGTGTTGGTTTTACCACTTTCTCAAAGATCAGTTGGCTCTATCCATGAGGGTCGATTTCTAGACTATTAATGTTTTATTGGCCAATTTGTCTAATTTTTTCACCTTTGCAACAAAGTTGTCGTTGTTGTTTTAACTTTATTTTATTTACTTATTTTTATGCAATACTAAAGATCAACCCAATGCCTCACGTATGCTAGGCAAGTGCTCTACTATTGAGTTTCAACCCCAGCCCTACTACAATGTTTGGATTACTGTAACTTTATAGTAAATCTCAAAGTTGAATGGCATCAGTCCTTCAACTTTGTTCTTTAATACTGGGTTTTTCAGGTTCTTTTGCCTCTCCATGTATACTTTAGAAATAATTTGCTGATATCCACAAAATATCTTATCTGAATTTGTTTGCTATTGCATTAAATCTTTATCAAGTTGTGAAGAACTGACATCTTGACAGTTTTGAGTCTTCCTACCAATGTGATTTATCTTCTATTTATCTAGCTTTTTTTTTATTTCATTGGAGTTAAATAGTTCTGACATGTAAATCTAGTACATATTTTGTTAGATTTTTTACCCAAGTATTTAATTTTGGGAGTACTAATGTAAATGGTATTATATTTTTTGTTTTAAAAATTTACTTCTTCATTGCTGATATGTAGGAAAGCAGTTGACTTTTTGTATATAAACTTATATACTGCCACTTTGCTATAATTACTTATTAGTGTTAATGTTATAAAAGACAAAAAAAGATGGAAAAGAGCATTATTGGGACTTTCAGGGGAAAATATGGACTAAATGTCTTATACTTGATCTTAGCCAAAAGGCCGAGAAGCGATCGACTAAATGTCTTATAATAGTAAGCTTCTTGAGTGTAATAATTTTATTCTGGTTATATATTAAACTGTTTTTGTTCTTAGAAGATAAATGTAAGTTTTTAGGGATCATGTCTGCAACTAATTCTCAATGGTTCAGGAAGAAGTGTGTATATGTCTCTAGGGAGAAAGGAAGGAAGGGAATATGACAAACTATTAACAATTAGTTGTTTAGATAAAGACTATATTGTATTTTCTTGCAATTTTTATGAAGATTTGAATTTTTCCAAAAATATTGAAGAAAAGCTTTAATTAAAGTAAAATTTAAAAATAAAATAACACTTACTATATATCTTATTGCTCTAGGTGAAATCCTTAACCCTGTTTGTCACCCATTATCCACCAGTTTGTGAACTAGAAAAAAGTTATGCACAACAGGTGGGGAATTACCACATGGGATTCTTGGTCAGTGAGGACGAAAGCCAACAGGATCCAGGTATGAGATAATCCTGCAGTAGGTATAATACTGGTTTTCATGTTTGATAACTCAGATTTTACAGGAATATGAACTTACTGCTTATTAATAATGAAAGTTATGAATGTCAGTTATAAATAGCATTTGTCCAAATTCATTTCCTCTGAGCTTTGGGTCAAGCAAAGTATGTATTTATTTATTTGTTATCTTTGATTTCTTTTCTGATCCTCCTCATGAAGTGGCAACTCTTTTTCCAGATGTAATGGTTAAAGATGAAGGTGACATTAAGGTTCCTCTTTGTTCCTTACATTCTTACATGATTCTTACCATCCCGGGAAAGATGCCTTGATAGTCGAGTGCAGAATATTATTAGTCGCCTTCAAAAATAACTAGTATTTTCCTCAAACTATTATTTAACATTAATTACTAAGGACTATATCCTATACTGGATATGTATTTTATTTTTTTATAAGGAAACTGAATCTCATTCAGGTAAAGTAGCTTGTTCATGTCAGCCATATAGGTAGGAGCTAAACAGCCTAGAATCCATGTTTTTTACTTCCAGATCCTCTTTACTTTCACTCTGCTAGCTCTCCAGCAGGGGATCTACAGTATTTTTTCTGGACTTTGCAGTTATTGCTACTGTCTCAGAAATGAGACATTTTATGAAAAAGAACACCATTAGCTAGTAGAAATAAATTCAAGTTCCTTAAGTAATCTAGTAGGCTTTAACATATGTATATTTTTTCCTATCTAGTAGTAGTTTTTTTAAGCTGTCAGCCTGTGGTGCTTTGCAAAATTGGGGAACTATAATGGATTTTCCATTATCCAAGATACTCCAAAGTCCAAATTTTATTTTGGAAAAGTAATAAGAACAAACCTGAAAAAGAAATCAGGCAACTGGCCCAAATAAAACAAAGTACTGGACCTAAGATAAATTTAATGTTAGACAATTCCTGCCTTTTACCACCAGGCAGACTTGAAAAAACACATCATAAATTCTCTCATGGAAGTAATTTCAGATCTATTAATCTGCATCCAATATGACAGAAGAAGACTTATAAGCTAAAACCCATGAGACAAATAAAATAAAGTTCACCAGCAGGGAAGAAACAAAATCAGTGCCACTAAGCATTTGATGTGAACTGACTGCTAACCTAGAGCATTATCCCTTCGCCTTAAGTGTTCTGGCATTTTATTTTATTGATTTAAAAGTTTATCCATGAGCATAATTCTTAAAATAAAATGATAGTAAAGGCTTCTGCTAACAAGTTTCTGTCCCTTCACTCCATGGCCCCCCCAACCCAAGTCCAAGGCCTTTGAACTCATTCTTCCATTTCTGTCATATTTCTAAATAATTTGCATGTTTTCTATCCCTTGATCCATCAGCTTGACACATAATTGATGGAACTCTCATTGTGTTAGTTGGGACTAAGCCTTCCCTTCCTCTGATCCCCTCCAATATAGTCGTTCCACATTTTTTCTATTTCATTCATGTATGTTGTTTTAACTGTTATTGCAGAAGAAATATTGTCTACTGCTGAGCCAAGTATGGAAGAAAAGTACATTTTCTTTCTTTTAAAGGCTTCTATTTTCTTAAAGATAAGAATTGCTTCATTTCTATTTATGTGTTTTGTTGTTTTCTTTGAGTCTGTAGCTGAATCTTCTTCTACTTTCCAATAGCTTTGTAAAATGTCTCTCTACACATTTTCCCACATAATTGAATCTATTTTTCCTGCTGGAGTGCTTTGTCCTCCTATTCATTTGAACAAGTTGCTTTCTGGGCCTGCCGCACAGCTATTGTCCTAAGGCTGCCTTTGTCCTGGGAGTTCTCTAACCCTCCCTTCTGTGCATTTGATTGCAAGGAACAACACAGTGGACTCATAGTGGCTCAAACAAAAGATGATACTCTATGTAATCTCACATTACAGGATCCTCTGAGGAACATAGGACCTCCCCATTCTTCCTCTTTGCAGTTCTCTAGGCTGTCTTCTTTGCCTGGCTGATTCCATCATCAGACTAGTGGCAAGATTGCTGCAACTCTTTTAGGCATCTCATCCAGAATTGACCATGTCCACCAAAGGAAAAGGAGCTACCATTTCTTCTATTTTATCTTATTATTTTATTTTTTAATTGTTAAATTTTACTTAATTTTAATTTAGTTGTATTTATTTGATATGCTAGGAATTAAGCCCAGGGCCTTTTGCTTGCTAATCACCCACTCTGCCACTGAGTTACACCAGCAGCCCCTCCTATGACTCTTTCTTAGAAATGAGGGAACTTTTTCTGAGTTTGCCTTTTATTGTCTCATAATTGTCCCATCCCATTTCAGAATTGAATCACATCTTCATTGTCATTTTGTTTTTGTTTTTGTTTTGTGCTGGAGATTAAACCCAGGGACCCTGTACCATTGAGCTACACCTTTTTATTTTTTGTTTTGAGGCAGAGTCTCCCTAAATAGCTGAGGCTGGAATTTACAATACTTCTTCCTCATCCTCCCTGAGTTGCTGGGATTATAGGCAAGTGCCACTGCACCATGATCCATCTTCATTCTTTTTTTTTTAATTGGTTCTTCTTAGTTATTTTGATAGTAGAATCCACTTTAATAAAATTATATAAGCATAGGATATCTCTTATTCTAATTAGGACCCAATTCTTGTGGGTGAGCATGACAGTGGGTTTCATTTAGGTATTTTCATATATATAGGAAAATTATGGTAGATTTGTTTTACTGTCTTTTCTATTCTTTTGTTGTTGTTATTGTTTGTTTGTTTGTTTATTGCACAACTATTCAGGCAAAGCTTTAATTGAGGGCAAAAAAGAGAAAGGAAAAGGGAGCTTTATGACCAGGTGAAGGGAGCAGCTCTGAGTGAAAGAGAAGTCAAAGCTGCCCCTTATTTGAACCATCTAAGAGTTAGTTGTAGACATGATTATACCTCATTTCCAAACAAGTGTGCATCAATGCAGATCACTTAATAACAAGAACATAACCACATTGAGCACTTGTAAATGAAAATACAAACTATTTTTTCTCTCTACTGTCACATTCAATACAGCACAAAATATTTCATTTCTTTTTTTTATATTTTTTTTTAGTTGTAGATGGACATAATACCTTTATTTTATTTATTTTTATGTAGCATTGAGGAGGGAATCCAGTGCCTCACATGCGAGATGAACATTCTACCACTGAGCCACAACCCCAGCCCCTAATTTCTTTTTTTTTAATTTGTTCTAATTAGTTGTACATGACAGCAGAGTATCTTTTGGTTCATTGTACACAAATGGAGCACAGCTTTTCATTTCTCTGGTAGTATATGATGTAGAGTTGCACCATATGTGCAGTCATACATGTACCTAGGGTAATGATATCCATCTCATTTCATCATTTTTCCTACCCCCGTGTCCCCATCCCTCCCTCTGTTTTGCCCAGTCAGAGTTCCTCCATTTTTCCCATGGTGTCCGCTTCCCCCATTATGGATCAGCATCCACTTATCAGGGAGAACATTCAGCCTTTGGTTTTTTAGGATTGGCTTACTTCAATTAACATGATATTCTCTAACACCATCTATTACCTGCAAATGCCATCATTTTATTCTCTTTTAATGCTGAGTAATATTCCATTGTGTATATATAACACAGTTTCTTTATCAAATACATTTATATACATCAGTGATGAACCCTCTGGAAGAGAAATTAGGAAAACAACCCCATTCACAATAGCCTCAAAAAAAAAAAAAAATCTGGAAATCAATTTAACAAAAGAGATGAAAGACCTATACAATGAAAACTACAAAACACTAAAGAAAGAAATTGAAGAAGATCTTAGAAGATGGAAATATATCCCATGTTTTTGGATAGGCAGACTTAATATTGTCATAATGGCCATACTACCAAAAACCTTATAGAGATTTAATGCAATTCCAATTAGTATCCCAACAACATTCCTCATAGAAATAGAAAAAGCAATCATGAAATTCATTTAAAAAAATTAGAGATCCAGAATAGCCAAAGCAATCTTGAGCAAGCAGAATGAAGCAGGAGGCATCCACAATACCAGACTTAAACTATACTACAGAGCGATAGTAACAAAAACAACATGGTATTGGCACCAAAGTAGACCAGTGATACTGAATAGAAGACACAGAGACAAACCCACATAAATACAGTTATCCCATATTTGACAGAGGTGCCAAAAACATATGTTAGCGAAAAGATAGCCTCTTCAATAAATGGTGCTAGGGAAACTGGAAATCCATATATAGCAAACTGAAATTAAACCCCCATCTCTCACCTTGCACAAAACTCAGCTCAAAATGGATCAAGGACCTAGGAATTTGACCAGAGACCTGCGCCTAATAGAAGAGAAAGTAGACCCAAATTTTTATCATGTTAATTAGGTCCTTAACAAGACTCCTAAAGTGCAAGAAGTAAAATCAAGAATTAATAAATGGGATGAATTTAAACTAAAAAGCTTCTTCTCAGCAAAAGAAACAATCAACAACGTGAAGAGAGAGCCCACAGAGTAGGAGAACATCTTTACAACACGCACATGAGATAGAGCACTAATTTCCAGGATATATAAAGAACTTAAAAAACTCTACACCAAAAGAATAATTAACCCAATTGATAAATGGATCAGGAGCTGAACTGACAATATCACAGAAGATATACAATCAATCAACAAATATATAAAAAAAAGTTCAACTTCACTAGTAATTAGAGAAATGCAAATCAAAACTACTCTTAAGATTTCATCTCACACCAGTTAGAATGGCATTTATCGAGAATACAAGCAACAATAAGTGTTGGTGAGGATGTGGAGAAAAAGGTACACTCATACATTGCTGGTGGCACTGCAAATTGGTACAACCACTCTGTCTTTCCTATTCTTAAGCCAGTCCTTACAAGTGAGGATTGCAAGAATGACTTTGATTTGCCTAGATTAGTCAGGATCAACATTTGGAGCTGGATATGAGGACACTATCCCCTGAGTTAAATGGTCATGGAACTAATTCCTTATACTAATATCAGGGTTTTTATTTTTTTAGAGGTGGAATAGGTTTTAGGTAGGGCTTGCTGACATCAACCGAACAAGGTAAAATTTTTGAGACTTTGCATGAATGAAATGTCTTCATTGTATCTTCATATTTGACTTGTCATTGAGCTAGGGCTAGAACTTGAGGTTAAAAGTAATTTTCACTCAGAATTTTGAAGGTTGATTTATTGTTCCCTTCCAGTATTGCTCCTGGCTATATTTATGCTTCATCTGTTAGCCTGTTAGTCCTAATCTAATTCTTCTTCTAAGTTAGAGGTCCTTCCATAAGTCATCAGGAAAGTTTCCCAAAGTTTCTTTTAACTGGCTTCTAAGATGTTCCCTATTTCTGTTGATGTGGTAGATAAAGTAATGGACCAGCCATCAGGAAACCTGTGTTTTTGTCTATTGCAACCTATAAAATCTTAGACAAGTCAGCTAACTTTATCTATCTTTAAATTTTTGTGAATCTATCCTAAAAGTGTCTTCGGGAATTATTTGATCATCAGCACACATCTTTTTAATAACTTTTAAGGAAGTTTGGCTTCAAAATAAATATTGCTATTTTCTTATAATAAGCAGAAACTTGAATTATTACATTCATTAATTCTAAAAAGAACCAAATGTGTTTTCAAAATATCCACTTTAGAAAAGGGCATAGCTCATCAGTAGAGTCCTCACCAAGAACTTTTGTTGTGAGGTTATAAAGAAATGAGTTGTTTTTATTTATCTTCTCTCCTCCCTGGTTCCCTCTGCCTCTATGTCTCCATCCTACACACACACCTCCACTCAAGGAGAATAAAGGAGTCTTGAGGCAAAACATAATGAAAAGAGGTCCCCGAGGTGATTAAAAATGGCCACATTCTTTACCTGGTGTGAGAACTACAGTAGTTAATACTATGGTGGAGACCAGCATATGATGACAAGATTTAGTTTGTGCTGAGGTATGTGAAGGAAGGCATTAGGACAGTATAATACATTATATAATTTAGCTGTGGTTTATAGCTATTATATAACATGCCTGTGTGTATGTGTGTGTGTGTGTGTATGTGTCTAGAGATAGAATAGGTTTTCAGACTTTGTATAAATGAAAATATCTCCATTATACCTTCATATTTGATTTATAATTCAGCGAGGGCTAGAACTTGAGATTGAAAGTCATTTTCATTCAGAATTTTGAAGGACTACACCAAAAAACATTTTGCTTTCTTTTGGTGGCCTGCTGCTGTTCACTTCACTATTTGTCTTGTGAGCATCAAAGCGAAACACAATCATCCAGGTTTGCGGACACTGGTTTCTGCATACATGTGTCTTCCCTAATCTGTCCCCACCCACTTCCTCACCTGTTCTTTGTGTTCCTTAAGTTTCATTTGAAGCAAATGTTATTTTTAGTGGTTTGTAATACACGTTGGAGTCTGTGTACTCCTGAGCACATCAGTATTCTTTTTAACTCCCACTTCTAGCAGCCACTCTTAGAAAGCTATTATTTGTCTGCTGCCGAGTTCTTGGAGGAGGATAAGGAAAATTCCATCGTATTTTTTCACTGTTGTGTTCAGTCTTTTTTTTTTCCCCCTTTAGTGATGAAAAAATAAAAGCATACACATTTGACAAATGAAATAAGAAAAAGCTCTTGATAAGCTTATAATCGGTGCTAGGGTCACAAAATCATTATAAATTGGGTCCGTTTTGGACATTTTTGCCACACAGTACAGTATACTGAATTTTATTTAAAAAGCTGCATAATCCTGTAGTGCATTAAGTTTAACAAAGGTTAAACTGTGTGCAGTTTTATCTTCATATTATTGTACTTCATTATATCCCAGTTCTTTAAAAGTTTTAAATTCATGCGTATGTATTTGTGTGACACACTGGGTTCCCTGGGAATCAGATTCTGAGGTTTGCATTCAGGAATTTTATTGGAGAATGTCCTCATGATCAACCCAGAGGGCAGGACTGAGAAGTATTGTGCAGGGTTGGGTCTTAGGCTTTAGAAAACTCAGCAGAGAGCTCGGAGGCTGGGTTGGTCCTTAGGAATTACTTCACCTTAGAGTTATAGGGCAAGGTCTTTATATACCCTTCATTAGTTAGCTTTATTAGTTTGAAATAATTTGAAAACAGTGTATAATAAATCATATAGTGGCTTAAAACAACAAAACACATTTATCATCTCTTCATTTTCATGGTTAGAATCCAGGGGCAATTTAACTGAGCACCTCTGAGGTCTTTCAGAAAGCTACATCAAGGTACAGCTCAGGACAGCAGTCACTGGAAGCCTTGATGAGATAAATGGCTTCCCAGCCCTCCTACAGCTTTTGGCAAGCTTCAGAATGCAGAATCTACTTGTAAGCTCACCCATATGGCTGCTGGTAGTCCCTTGCTGACTACTGATGAGAGTAGTTTGCATGTGAGCTTCTTCACAGAGCAACTTACAACGTAGTAGCTGGCTTTCCTCAAAGCAAGCAAGAAAGTAAGAGCGGCCAAGACAGAGGGCACAGTCTTGTGCAACCTAATTTCTACAGTGACATCCTATCACTTTTTATCATATTCTGTTTGTTAGAAGTGAGTCAGTAGGTTCAGCCCACACTCAAAGGGAGAGAATGACACATGGGCATGAACACTAGAAGACAGGAATCTTTAGTGGCCATGTTAGAGGCTACATGCCTATCCCTATAGCAGCCAGTTATTGGATGCCCACTGCCCCAAGAAAGGAGTGTACCCTTAGTGAAGCAGCTCTCTTCAGCTGCAGTCATTCCCCTAAAGAGGCCCAAAGATAGGGTTGCAGGCTAACAATCTTCCTGGCTAATGATAGCTGGGGCATAAACTCTTCAGTCCTAAGTGGCATCTAGGTAGTACTCAACAGCCTCCACTTCAGTATGTATATCTCTTGGGCAATCAGAATATTTAATAAACCAGAACTTTTCAGTCTCATTATTTAGGCTATGCAACATGTAATATTTCCTTATCTGATTTAAAAGGAGAAAGAAATTATGTTGTATCATGTATCAAAACCATTGTTTTTTGATATAGAAGTTCAATTAAAATCTTGCAACAAATAATTGTTAAAAATTGTTTTAAGTGAATAAAGATCTTAAATGCAAAAACATTTTTAAAAAATTTTTTTTAGTTGTAGTTGGACACAATACCTTTATTTTACTTATTTATTTTTATGTGGTGCAGAGGATAGAATTCAGTACCTTGCCCGTGCTAGGCAAGAGCTCTACTGCTAAGCCACAACCCCAGGGCCTTAAATGCAAAAACATTTTTAAAACTCTATTTACCATTTTTCTAGATATGTAAAATTGATTAAAGTACCTAGTAAATGGCTAGGATCAATAGATTCTTTTTCAGATTGTAAATTTTTTTTGTTTTGTTTGTTTTTTTGTTTTAATTAGTTACACATGAGAGTATAATGATCTTGACGTATCATACATTTGAATCAGATGGGGTATAATTTCTCATTTTTCTGAGTGTATAGGTTGCAAATTTTAATAGAATAAAATTATAAGCACTTACATCTCTTCTTTTGTCCCCTAATATGTCAATTTTCTGGTGTGATTTTGATCACCTATTGTTTTGTTCTGGTTTGTTTTTTTCCCCTAGGTGAAGAAGAACAAGTGCCTGATTTTGTCACTTTTCTTTATCAAATAACCAGAGGAATTGCAGCAAGGAGTTATGGACTGAATGTGGCTAAACTAGCAGATGTTCCTGGAGAAATTTTAAAGAAAGCAGCTTATAAGTCAAAAGAACTTGAAGAATTAGTAAATGTGAAAAGGTCAGAATATTTGTGCTGCAGTTTTTGGTTTATAATGAAACCTTTCAAGTTGCCCAAAGAAAAGGATTATCCTGTAAAGTTAACATCAGATCTGCTTTTAAGCACATTTTCAAAGATTCTCAAATATTTAATTAAAATGAAGTGAAAACAGTTCTTGGCAAAACTCAGGTGAATTCAGTCCATGTTTATCATTTTCAGTTTATCTTTATTGATCAATCAGTTCTTGATTAAAGTGCAACATTGTTTTTCAGTCATTTCCCTGAAGAATTAAGTTAATTCTATGTATGACAACGTATTAGCTGCTAAAAGCATTCAATTCTATACAGTTACTGAAAGAAACTTCAATATTTAAAACCACAGAGGACTTCTTTTATTCATAGATTTCATTCAGATAGGCAATGATTACATTTAAAAATGAAGAATTTTGTCAGAATATGAATGAAACTAATAGTATTATGTGATCATGGACTCACCATGTATCCACATTTCACTTGTTTGGGGAATTGTTTATGACAAATTTTTCATTGTAAGCTGGCTTCTGTTACCTAAAATGCTTATGTGAATGTTTTCTACCTTTTCACCCTTGATACCCAGCTAGTAGGTAGTCAGTATATAAGTTAATCTTAATATATACCTGTTTATACTTCAGAAGGGAAATGGTTCTAAGAAAATATCATATTAGTAAATAGCATCTTTTTTTTTTTTTTTTTTTTTTTTTTTTTTTTTTTATTGTTGGCTGTTCAAAACATTACATAGTTCTTGATATATCATATTTCACAATTTGATTCAAGTGGGTTATGAGCTCCCATTTTTACCCCATATACAGATTGCAGAATCACATCAGTTACACATCCATTGATTTACATATTGCCATACTAGTGTCTGTTGTATTCTGCTGTCTTTCCTATCCTCTACTATCCCCCCTCCCCTCCCCTCCCCTCCCCTCCCCTCCCCTCTTCTCTCTCTGCCCCCTTTACTGACATTCGTTTGTCCCCCTTGTATTATTTTTCCCCTTCCCCTCACTTCCTCTTGTATGTACTTTTGTATACCTCTGAGGGTCTCCTTCCATTTCCATGCATTTTCCCTTCTCTCTCCCTTTCCCTCCCACCTCTCATCCCTGTTTAATGTTAATCTTCTTCTCATGCTCTTCGACCCTACTCTGTTCTTAGCTACTCTCCTTATATCAAAGAAGACATTTGACATTTGTTTTTTAGGGATTGGCTAGCTTCACTTAGCATAATCTGCTCTAATGCCATCCATTTCCCTGTAAATTCTATGATTTTGTCATTTTTTAATGCAGAGTAATACTCCATTGTGTATAAATGCCACATTTTTTTTATCCATTCATCCATTGAAGGGCATCTAGGTTGGTTCCACAGTCTAGCTATTGTGAATTGTGCTGCTATGAACATCGATGTAGCATCTTATAGCCTTTTGTATCCTAAATATAAATTGTAAAACAACATAAGCTCCCTGTTCCTGTACCTCTGCTTTGCCTGGAGAGTGTCATCTGCTGGGGACAGGACAATACTGCCCTGGTTGATAGCCACATGACCATGAGTGGACAAGATGGTTGATCAAATAGAAAGTCTTGGTTGGCCACCAGTGGTCCCTGTGTTACACTCCAAGCATATTAATTAATTCTGGAACTCTTTACCATATGTCAGTATTGACCTATTATTATATGTAGTATTGGTTGAAAATTAAAGAACAGTTGCTAACTTCTGTTCTGAAGTGGAGTCGTGCAGTGCAATCAGCTTCTCTCTCCATTTCCCTCCCCTGGTTCTGCATACCTTGTAATGGTGTGATGGTTGTGTTGACCAAGTCCAGAATACTGTGAATGCTGCAAATGACACTTAGCCTCCTCTGTTGACACTCTCTCTAGATAATTTCCATAGTGCCAGATCAAAAGCAAAGTGGCATCATTGGTTTCAATCATTTTCTGTTACGAGGCAAATTAATGTAAAAGTTTTCCAGAGAGCAGATTTTATCTATGAGAATTTAAAAATAAATTTAGCCTTTAATCATCTGCAAATTCTAAATCCTTTCTTGTCATCTTTGTTATTATTGGTTTTTTTTTCCCTAAAGAAAGTTGTGCCACAAAGGATACATGTACAAGCTGGCAATATTTAGTTTATATTTGTTGCTTTCTACATAGCCTATAAAGCAAAAGCAAGAAAATTCACACATTGCTTATAAATATTTTCACTCTTCTGACTAGTGTGAGGCATTTATAAAGTTATCTTGATAAGATTAGAGAATTATTGAAAGAAGTTGCATTGAAATAAATCAGATAATTTATCTGGACACTATTTGTCTTGCCCTTTTGCTGAAATTTTGTGCCTTCCTGTGGATTTTTTACAGTAGTTAATATATATTGAATGGTTACTGTGTGCAGAGACAAGTGTGAACAGTCATTTGTAGCAGCCTGGACACTCACTCATTACTGTTCTTACTGCTTTATGTACATTAACTCACTTAAACCCTGTGACAACCTTGTGAGTTGGGTAGTTTAGAGAAATGAGGCCAAGTGAGGGAAAGAATTGACCCAGGGTCACACACCTAATTGGAGATGGGGCAGTGATTGGAACTCAGGTTCTCCAGCTCCAGACGCTGAATACTTAACTGGGTTGCTGTTCTGCAGGAAAAATTTAAGTCTCAGTAACGCTGACATTTTCCTCTTTCATTAGGCAGCTTTATTTTATTAAATCAATTCCACTTTTGGAACTCTCAGCAGGAGTGCTTTTGTTGTCAGGTACAGATAGGCACACACACACACACACACACACACACATACACACAGTCCCCCTCTGGCAGAGTTAAGAGGGGAGAAAGTTGCACTGTCCCCTCTCTACAGGGAGGGATTGTAGAAGGTCACATGGAGGCAGTGGTGATCTATAACTTCAATTCCTTATTACAGCAGCAGCTCTGCAAGGTTGGTGCTGACACAGTTTCCTAATATGGAGCCTACTTGGTATTACAATGGCATAGGTTTTTCTTAGCTTTCCATGAGATGTATTGTCCCTGACAATTTCATTTCTAAATTAAGTATGTTGTTTTTTTTCTCCAGGAAAACACTAAAGTATTTTGCAAAATTATGGATGACCCATAATGCAAAAGACCTTCAACAGTGGACAGAAGAGTTTGAAATGGAAGAAATACAGACTTCCTGATTGAAATGAAGACTACTTTTTGAACAAAAAAAGGAGAATTAAAAATACAAACTGTACAAAATAACTTTCCAGTAACAGCCCGTCTTTGTGTGACATGTGAGCATAGAATCATGACCATGGCATATTCCTTGGGAAGCAGACTTCTTCCTCTTGTGAAGAAAGTGTTTTTCAGGTTTCTGACCTACTGCATCTTTAAAGGATAAACACTTTTGAATATTAAGGCTTCCGTATGAAAATTAGAAAATTCACTGAAGTTTCACATAAAGTCAAAATCTTCCAAATAAAGTCTACAGTGGTAGAACTGAATACATGAACATTTGGAGAGTGATACAAAATTTTAATTCATATTTCTACTTGTTTCATTTCAGATAATTGGCAACAGGGTAAATCTGGCAGAAATCTACCTTTCTTTTTGAACTAAAATAATTTTATAATGCCACCAGTTTATTCACCATGAACATAAGCAGTTTTGATAAGAAATAGAACTTCTAAGCTTTTAGAAACTAGTGCACAGAGTACAGAAAGAATAAGAACATATGAGATGTAAAGAGTTAAACATTGTAGTTAGTCTTAAGATTGTTGGATGAAATTATTTTGTCATTCATTCAAGTAATAAATGTTTAATGAGTACTTGCTGTAGATTATGGTATATCCTGTTGAATACAGACATTGTTCAGTTGTCATTTTTTAGATTTAACTGTGAAACCACGGTTGCTGCTCATAACAAAGCAATATTTAGAACAGAACTTGCTTATGTTGCTTATTATTGTTCGGTCAACCGATATAACACTCATGTGAGCTCCTTAGTGTTGAACTGTATAGCTTTCTTGATTCACAGTAACACTCCCTCCCTGGCAGATTAGGGTGACACATGCTCAACTATGTCCCTGGGTTTTTTTTTCAGCACTTACAATCTGGCTTCTCATATCCATGTGTTCTTTTGGTTTCTAAATATGTAATTCGTGTAAAGACTCTCCATACTATTTCCCACCCATTTGTTATTCCTGCTCAGTTAAATTTCTTCCCCACACTTGATGAGCATACCTTTAACCTTTTCTAGATTGTTAATGACAGTGACCCTAACAGAGACCCCAGACTCAAGAGTCAATACCGTGTCTATAAGCTGACAAGAGTGTTTTTGTTGCCTCTTTTTAGTCACTCTCACTTTAACTCTCCAATTCCCAACCTTTTGGAATCAGGGAATGCTTTCCTTGGTTGATTCCACCCCTCCAGAAATACTAATGTGTAGTGAAATTATCAAAAATTTCTCAAACTAGAGTCAGGTTAAAATGTACTCTTCAAATTTTAAAAAGAACAAGATGATTTCAATACTTGATAGGACTGTGAATGTTTTACATTATTTCTAACAAGATTTGAAAGATACTGTTGTAACTTTACTGTCAGGCCAGAGAGAAAAAGAGTTGAATCCAGCCATGTCATGCACATGCCAGAGGGACATGCAGGGACAATCAGTCGCTAGTAATGTCCAAGTGGACATTTGGGGACAACTCTGCCTCTGACTGGGCCAGGGTTCAGGCCAGCATCAGCATTCAAACAGACAGGGATACCAGGAGCAGTGGCAGTGCACACTGTCTGGCAGCTGACAGGGTGAAACATTGCAGGTTTCACATGCTGGATTTTCCAGCATGAAGCAGGATATCAGCCTGCCAGCTCGAAGTAGATCAGGCCCTGCTCCACGCCAGTTACTGAAGATTACACTGAATCCCTGTCATAAAGACTACACACATGCCATGGAGATGCACAGGAAAGCTGCAGTCCATTGAGTCTGTGTTCAAGATACCTGACTTCAGAGCAGCAGTTCTAACGTTGGCTATAATGAACATTCGTGGGAGTGGGGGTTGGAGTGTATTGCCAGGAGTCATATTCTCTCAGGCTCGGGTAGGAGCATTGAGCCTGGAAGCTAAGTGTCCTCAATACTTCAGACTGAGGCTGATGGCTAGTGTACAAAGGAAAGTAAATTGGAAATGATATATTCAGTGACTTGGCTCTTTTTAGCCACTAAATAACAAGTTAAAAACTGATCATTCTACAGTTACAACCATCAGATCCTCAAAAACCTAAAGATAGACCCGTCTGTTCAATAACCCCAAAATCAAAAAAGAAAAAGGTCAAGGCTGGGGCTATAGTGGTTGAGCATACACAAGGCTCTAGGTTCAATCTTCATAACCACGAGAAAGAGAGGGAGACAGAAGAGGAAAGGGAAAAAGGAAAAGTCAAACATTTTTAACCAGTTTCAACTTTGACTTCCTGCTGTTTCATCTCTCATCAATGCTATCTGTGCTTACTGTTTTTAAAATATTTTCATTGCGTTAGCTTTTGTAGCTGTGACAGATACATGAGGGAAAACTTAAAGGTGGGGAATTAATTTTATTTTAGCACACAGGTCCAGAGGTTTCCATCCACAATTGGCTGACTTCTTTGCTTTGGGCCTGAGGTGAAGCAGAACACAGTGGCAGAAGGTTATAGTGGAGGAAAACTGCTCAGCTCTTGGCAGACAGGAAACAGGGGAAGGTGTTCCACACAAGAAATACTCTCCTAGGGCATGCCCCCCTGAGACCTACTTGACAGCAAGGCCCTACCTCCTAACACTTCCACTACCTCCCCCATATGCCATCCAATTATTAATACCATCAGTGAATTAATCCACCAATGAAGCCAGAGCCCTCATGAGCCAGTCACTTCCCCAGAGCTCCACCTCTGAACATTGCTATTGGGGAACAAGCTTTCAACACATGAATCTTGGGGGATACTTCAGATCCAAACCATAGCACTTATAGCTACTAATAACTACTACAAGAATATTTTTTAAATCCATAGGACTATAATTCATAATTTTAAAAAGAAAAAAAGGAAAGGAAAATGAAAACTGTTCATTTTAAAATTTTTAAAGAAAAAACGTAAACACCTAAGCATTTGAGTTATTCATTCTATCTCAGTGGTTCCCTGTGCGAAGTATTAAAATCATGATTTCAGGGCTGGGGTTGTGGCTTAGCGGTAGAGCACTTGCCTAGCACGTGTGAGGCCCTGGATTTGATCCTCAGCACCACATAAAAATAAATAAATAAAGGTATTCTGTCCAGTTACAACTAAAAACAAAATTAAAAAAAAAAATCATGATTCCAAGTTACTGCCTGAACCAAGGGAGCTAGACCCAAGCTTAGTATTTCTTTTTTTTTTAATACTTTTTTTTTACTTGCCAATGGACCTTTATTTATTTATATGTGGTGCTGAGAATCAAACCAGTGCCTCACACATGCTAGGCAGGTGCTCTGCCATTGAACCACAACCCCAGTCCTCAAGCTTAGTATTTCTGAACAGCTTTATTGGCATTAACTTGCATACTGTACAATTCTCTCATTTAGTATATACAAATAATTGGATTTTCCTTTATTCATAAAGCTGTACAACTGTGAATCAATTTGCAAATGTTTGAGAATCACCCTGGAAAAGAAATCCTGTGATTAGCAATCACTTTTCATTCATCCCCAAGATCCCTGGTCCTAAACAACCACTAATCTGCATTTTGTCTCTATAGATTTGCCAGTTTTGAACATTTCATACAAAGGGAATTGTACAATGTGTGGTCTTTTGTGTTTGAATTCTTTGACTTAGAATAGTGTTTTCAATGTTCATCCATGTAGCACAAGTATTTCATTCCTTTATATTGATTCATTCTGTGTTCATACCACATCTTATTTTTAACATTCATCAGTTTATAATCATTTAGATTATTTCCATTTTAGGCCATTTTTAAATCAAGTTTCTATGTAATAAAGCATAGTAGTGTTTTTTAAATAGTAGTGTTTTTTAAAATTCCCCTAGTAATTCAAATGTGCAGTCAGGTTTGTGAACTACTAATCTCAGTATTACGAATGACTACACAATATTTAAAATTGGGCTGATCATCATTTGTTCCATCTCTCCTCACTTTATCTGTTATTTAGGACATGGCATACAATAGATATTTGTTAAAATAGAAAATAAAAACAAACACTTTCAAGTCAAAAACTCAATGAAAAGATGCTTCTTTTCATTAACAAGACACCATTTTACTAGGGATTCAAAATCCATAAAAAATATACTCTTTTTTTGCGGGGGGGTGGGGGGTTGTAGATGGACTCAATACCTTTATTTTATTTGTTTATCTTTTTATGTGGTGCTGAGGATTGAACCCAGGGCCTCACATGTGCTAGGCAAGCACTCCACCACTGAGCCACAACTCTAGCCCCCAGAAGTGTACTCCATCTTAAAACAAAAAACTTTTTTGTTTTTTTGTATTCTGACAATTTGTCCCAGGTTTGAGCCTGTTGTCCTGGTGGTAAGGGGCCTGGTGAAACTGCCCACTGAGTGAATTCCAGAGAAAGACTAGACTGAATCCAATGTATTCTACAAATTAATGTTGATCTTTTGTAAGTTCCAAGATTAATATTAATTACTGCTGTGCTGTGTAATTATAAAAGTGTTCCTGGCTATTTTCACACCAAGTATCTGAGTGGAGCAAGAAAGAAACTGTATTAGCACCATCTGTGCTTTCTGACCTTGTGATTAAGACCAGCTCTTCTGTAGAACATTGTAATTCATTCCCATGATTATTGTTAAGTTTATTAACACTCAGGGAAGCTTTATTAACATAGTTTTATTAACATAGTTTTGCTGGTATTTTTATTAAAAGCCTCTTTTACTCAGAAGTGTCCTGTTATATAGTTACACTCATGACAGATGCTGTTTAATTTTTTTATATCTTTAAAAGTCCATTATTTTCCTTGTCCATTGGATAAACTGATTTTCCCCAAAAGGCCCACCATTTTTTTTTTTTTTTTTTGCCTGTTCTTGGTAAGTGCTTTATATTGTAGAATTTAGAAACTACAACTCTGCTAATTGGTGTGTTAGCTCTTTACCACCTATTTTATTTTTGAGACTGAATCCCCAAAGATAACTTGTCATCTGCCTGTTTCCATGAAATCCTGGTGAAGAATGTGCACCTCCATGACTTCATGAGACACATAGCAAGGCTGCCTCTTGTAGAAATGCTTATTGAGCTTGGGAGTAGGAATCTTTTTTTTCTAGTGGTTTTGTATTTTGTTCAAATCCTTTCTTCATTCCCTTTGGCTATCTTTTTAAAAACTATAGAGAGACCCTTTATCAAATTTTAAAAAAATAAAATAAAATAGAGCTAGGATATGACTTAATGGTTAATCATTCCTAGGTTCAATACCCGGTACAAAAAAAATCCTATATATTTTTTCACAATAGTCTTTTTTTTCCCCTTGTATCAGAAACAATGTGTATCATTTTAACTCCTGTTCAGGTTCAAGCCCCTGCTCCTTATCCCACTTCCATGAACCCCCGTGTAGGACTTGGGATGTACCTTGCAGCCCTCTATCAGAATCACTGGGGTTTTTAAATGCATATTTCTGGGACCTACTCTAACTGTTGAGTCAATCTCTGAGTTGGGACATAGAATTATCAGTCAATGTGAGTTTCTGTCCTCATTTCTTCATCACTTTCCCCTTTCCCTTTCTCATCTCTCCCTACTTGGTCATGACCTAATCTTCAAAGAAATTTGCTAAAAATTCCATTCCTTGGTTCATCCCCGTTTCCATGATTCCATAGAGCCCAGAGAGCTTTATTATTTTTTTTTAAATAGACTATTTCTTAAAACAACTTTAGATTCATAGAAAGATTGGAAAGAATTGAGAGTTTCTGCATCCTGAAAGTGGAGGTC